AAAAAAAAAAAAAAAAAAAAATTAAAAAAAAAAAAAAAAAAAAAAAAGACATACACCTTTCATTAAAAGAAAATGAAAATGAAGACAAAACAAAAAACAAAACAAATACCCAGCCTGGTCTGGGGGTGGTGAGCAAGGCTCTAGGCCACTCTCATGGGGTTGTGTCCTGCCATCACTTGTGAGCTTGGTTGAGTTCTTTAACTTTTGTGTACCTCAGTATTCTTGTCGATAAAATGGAGTTACTAGCCAGGCGGAGGCCAGCCTGGTCTCCAGAGCGAGTGCCAGGATAGGCTCCAAAGCTACACAGAGAAACCCTGTCTCAAAAAAAAAAAAAAAAATGGAGTTACTAATTGAACTTCCTATGTTGAGAGATGAAGAACATGAATATATATATTTGTTCAGGAGAGGAGCAGACATCTGGGGATTTGAAGATGGACCCAGACTGGTGTGACTCACTTGCTGGCCTCTTACTACAACTGGGTTCAGTTGGTGCAGAGGCCTGGGGAGGAACATTCTGTATGGTCTGTGGAGTGACAGTAAACAGGGTTCAGGTTCAAGCGAGCTAGTAGGGCTGCCGTGCAGAAAGCAGGGACTGGATGTGAAGCCCAGTCTTAATGGTTAAAATACAGTGCATGAGAAAAAAGGAAGTTTTTGCGTATTTAAATGTAAATAAAGCTCACCTGTGGGATTTGCTGAGAAAGTGCAACATAAAGAAAGGCCTTCTGTCTGGGGTTCTGTGCCTCTCCATCTCTCTCCATTTTGGCCTCTGCTTTTTACTGCCATTCCAGCTGCTCCCAGTAACATTCCTATACTGACACCTGCTGCATGAACATCTGACAGCCCTAAACTGCGCTGCAATCCTAGGCATTTTCCCTGACACAGCCTGAGAGATGCACATTAGGAATTCCTACTCCCAGAAGGAGTGCGGGTGATAACCCAAGGCTGTGCCCTGAGTTTGTATTGTCTTGTTTGAAAGTTACTATGTATCTGGTGTGTGTGTGTGGGGGGGTGCTTTGCAGGAGTGATTATGGTAATACATGCTGTTATTTAGTGACTGCTTACCCTGTGGCAGTGCTTATGTAAAACACATTAAGAGCATTACTGGCTTAATGCTCCCCAAAGTCCATTTTAGAATTATCACATCTTGCAGGTGTAGAGGCTGAGGCTAGGGAATGGATGGAGAGATTCTCTGATTGACAGATTTAGTTTTCTAGTCATTATGTTGCACCTGGCCAAGAAAATGGAGGTGTCAGAGAGGAGGAAATCCAAGATCCAAGACATTTTATTCCTGAAGGTGGAGAACTCAGTACCAGGAGAGGGGGTGGCAAGCTTGAAAATGCTGTTGTCGTCGACATTGTTGTCACTGTTGTTAATGGAAGAGAAAAGGAGAGCAGTCAGGAAAACAGCTTTCAGAAATTAGGACACATCTAGGTGTGAGAAGAGACAGGCAATGGCTCATGTGGGGAGCTGGGAAGTGTGCTGGGATAAAGATAGGGCGAGCATAGGACTAAACCACTTTGCTAAACAAACGGTGTTTGTGGAGACCTGTAATTAAGAGAACTCAAGACTTGTGTGCATTTTGGGTTTGGAAAGGACCTGCAAGTATGTGCTTGCATCATGAGGATGTGTGCAGGTTTCAGGGTAAAAGTGAGGCAGTCTTTGTGCAGAGCATGGAGTAAGCCCCTCTCTGGCCGTCTTGAATGGCTGACCAGCTGATGTCACAAGCAGCCCTCTGGGAACCTGTAATCCCATGTCCTCCTCAACTTTCTCCTCTCTCTGGGGTAACCTCAGTTACACAGGATCTGAGCTTTGGCCAGTCTCTCTGCTGGTTTCACTTGCAGGTGTCTCCAGCTTCAGCTTCTGGGTGTCCAAGAAGGCAATATCTGCAGCAGACCACTCCTGGTTTGGGAATAGTCTCTTTCCACTTCTCTGTTCTGTTATACCTGTTGCTATAAACCCATCTCCCCGACATACGGCTTCTGATCTTTTGCTGGAGCTGCCCATCAGAATGAAATTAAATTGATGTGTTTGCAGGTGTGTCACTGTGACAGCAAGATGAGAGAGGGGACCAGAGGGCATACAGACTGTCTCATAGAGGAAGACAGACTGTAAGGTTTGTGGGGGGAAATGTCTAAGACTAGACCATTCATCCTCATAGTGAGATTTCTATCTTAACTTTCTGAGTGCCTGCTCCAGGCCAGACATAGTGCTGCTGACTAATTTCCATGTCATCTCTAAGCGCCCACATGTCTTGATTGGGCAGATGAGAAAACAGGGTCATCTAAGTTGAATTTTTCACACACACACACACACACACACACACACAGAGAGAGAGAGAGAGAGAGAGAGAGAGAGAGAGAGAGGAGAGACAGATTGAGAGTTGTGTATGTAAACATCCATGCTTAGATGTCCTTAAGGCCTGAACTGCGCCTATCAACTGCTCATTGTCTGTCTCATGCACACATGTACAGACCCATGAGACCCATGCTCATTTTCCCTGCTGTTTGCCACACATGGGAGTGTTAATTGTGTGTTCGTAGAAAGGAAGGAACAGCCTAAACTTGCTTAAGTGGTATGGTCTGACCTGTAGTTTGTAGGGCAGGAGATAGGGAGACAGAAGGACACCATTCTTTTGTTTTCATTGGATAGTTCCCAGCAATTCAGTGACAAACACACTGGGGACCTCTGCAGGGTCTCCTGTGGACATCTGTGGTTATTCATTGCTATTTCTGACTCCTTCTCTGGTTTCTGAGATGGCCCTTCCATTTCTAACTCTTGTCAACTCCCTCTTTTGTTTCTGAGACAGCCCTGCCATTTCCAACTCTTGTCATTTCCTCAACCTGTTCAAAAGCAGTGTTCAGGAGGCATTTAGCAAATATTTACTCACAGATTCATTCAACCATGGACTATGCAGCTCCGGGGTTCCACAGTTCAATTACAGCACCCAACAAAGCTCTCTTTCTGGATGTATTGATTTGCTTCCTGGAGATTAAATATTGGTTTTACAGCACACACATGGAAATACCATCTGTAATCATTGAACTGATCTGTAAATAGACCCACCCTGGTCTACCTGGAGTGTCACTTGGGACTTTACAAAAATCCAAGCAGAGAAACATGAAAAGGGGCTTTTAAGTGGGCATGCACACAGTTGGGACAACACTTAGTGATTCAATGAGGAAGTGAGAAGCAGGCATTGGAATTCTCTGTCCCTCTTTTTGCCAGCCTCACTATGATAGTGAGTCTCTACCCAGGCTGCCTATTGAAATTGCTGGCATTTTAATATCTAGACTCTATTGTTACTTAGGCACAAGAAGGTCAACAGAACAGGAGAAAGCTGCTATTGAGAAGATAGTTTGCTAACTTCATGGTTCTCTAGAGCATGCGGGTACCATACCACTGGGGCTCATACTGGGACACATGCATGTTGGGTCAGGAGGCAGAGGAGACAAAGGTCAAACCTGGGCATGAGCTTTTCATTGTGGTTCCCATGAGAAACAGTGAGTAGGCAGGGTCAAATAGACCTGGGATCACTAGTGTGGATAAACACAATAGGTGCTGAGGCAGTGGGACTATCTCTGTTTGTCTGGGACCTGACCCTGAGGTGATAAGGGTGAGTCGATAGTGGTCCCAAGGAGGCGTTTGGGGCATTAGTTATCTGAGAGAAATGCAGTCCCTCCAGGGTCAACAGACAAGGCCCAAGGGTGACAGAGCAACAGAAAATAAAAGGTTTAGTTAACACAAGGGCTTTGTGACAGGGATACTGTTGAAAAGGTTTTATATCTAGCTCAAGAAATTGTAATGAACAGGGCTAGAGCCTGGGAATTGGTGTTAGTTACTTGCTCCGCTGAAGATTCTTATGTTCAGGGGTTAGAGACCATGACATCTATGTCATTCAGACATGTGGAGTGTGTCCTGACTCCTGAACTAAGGGAGGTGTCTTTTGCATAGCACTTCAAAGTAGCCACAGGTGGTGGATACCCAAGACGGCTTGGATTTGGTTAATTTTTTAGAGTTCCTTTCTCTTTCTTTGCAGGCCTCTAACCCGGGAGCCCTTCCCTCCTCCCCCACCAGTTCCTCCCAGAGGTCGCTGATACCACCTTCTAAATGTACTTCACGACTTTTAAGACTGGCAATTTTCAGCCTGTTAATGGAGTCTTCATATTGACTATTCTGCATGACTAAGGACCTTGAGATCCGCCATCACCGCTGATGTTGCAGCCCTGCTGGTTTGGGTGTTCCTTCCTTGAAGACATTAAAGCATGGTGAAATCTGAGACTAAGAACTTTGTTCAACACCGCCAAGTATATTGGTTCACATTCTTGTTTGTCAAAAGAATGAAGACTCTGTCAAAATACTTACCTCTTATGTCCTGTAGCAAGAGCCTAACGGGATTGATGAAAATGTACTTAACATATGAATGTGCTGTAGTAAACATATATTAGTCCATACATACCTGCTCTAGTTTCTAGAAGTGATCATGACACTTCCAGTAGAAGAAGTGTCCTAACTTTGAAGTATTTCTTCCACATTTCTATGTATGTGCTAGGGCTGGTCACAGACAAAAAGCAGCAAATGATTTTAGAAAGGGGTTAAACCAGATTCCTTTTCCACTGTAGGCATCTGGGGTCCCCCAGAAGTATGGAACTAAGAGAACTCTGGTGGTTCTATGTTATCACACCCCCCCTTACATGTGTATGTGTGTGGTGTGCGTGTGTGTTTGTATGTTTGTGGAGACTAGGGGCAATGTTGGAAGTCTTCATCAACCACTCTCCATCTCTTCACCAAGGCAGTGTCTCAACTGAACTCAGATTATTGATACAGCTAGTCTCGCTTGCTCCAGGAATCCTGTCTCCACTCTCCTGGTGCTGGAATTGCAGGCCGGTTGCTGTGCCCCCTTGACATCTGTGTGGAAGCTGGGGATCTGAACTCAGGTCCTCATGCTTGAACAGCAAGCACTTTATCTACTGACCCGTTTGCCCAGCCCCTGTCACCACATTTTCTCTCTCTAACGAGTCAATCCTCTTTTCTTTTAAGAGCCCTCCCCCCCCCAAATGTGGAAATATAACCATACCTGACTATCAGCCTTCCAGAATTTCCTTCTTACATGTCATCCAGGCATGGGACCTCCAGTTTGGGCATTTATACCTCAGTCTGCTGTCAAACGAGTCATGTTCCCAGAAACCACTGAAAATGGTCAGATACAGAATTTTGAGGTACCAGGTTGTCCATCTATAAATCTGTGGCCTTTATAGTTCTGGCCGTAAAGAAAGAGAAGAACCCTTGACGTTTTTTCTCTTGAGGAGCCTGAAGTGGTGGAAGAAAAAAAGCTAAAATATTTTCTTCCAGACTTACTACTGTTACTCTATATAGTTATTATCAGGCCTGGTAAATCTGTACAGAGAGCAGAGAACTGTAACCATGTTATGAATTTTGAGTTCCTGTTATATATATCTACCTTCAAATCACAGATCTTTAATCTCACATATGCATTCAGTGGAATTATCAGAAGTGTTTCTTTTAAAGTACAGGTAATATGCTTGTTTCTCATGAGTTCATTGTCTAACCCCACATAGATATTATTATTATTATTGATCTGCTCCAGTGTATTCTTGCTGGGTCATTTTCTCATAATTAAATGTTCTCCTTCAATCTCATTTCTCAGTCTAACACTTCTTGAGTTTGACTTCAGGGGACTCTTGAGTCATGTATAAAACACACACATGATCGTGTCCACCACATGAGAATATTCTCACAAAGTATCTCATAGAGAACCTGGAACATGGTGACCATTCTGCAAATGTGCCTTTGGTGGTACCTCAACCCTTCTGTCATTTGTTTGGGAGAAATGAGAGAATATCACATAAAACAACAAAAAATGTCGAAATTGGTGTGGTTGTCCTCCTGTTGCTTATTGTCTCCATCTTGAGGATTTTAATAAAAGATTTATATCTCTTTACCTTAAGCCCCTTTTTGGATACCAAACTTAGGTTTGTGTACATATTCTGGTGAACAAGTTTGATAATAACATGGAAAGGCCAGCCAATGGTTTTAGCATCCTGGATGTACAGCAGGGTTCGAAGTTTGGATACATAATTACATTTCATTCCTGTCTTAAATTGAAAGTGCTTTTAACTGCTGAGCCATTTCTTGCCGGGCAGTGGTGGCGCACACCTTTAATCCCAGCACTCGGGAGGCAGAGGCAGGCGGATCTCTGTGAGTTTGAGACCAGCCTGGTCTACAAGAGTTAGTTCCAGGACAGCCTCCAAAGCCACAGAGAAACCCTGTCTTGAAAAAAAAAATTGAAAATGCTTTTTGAGGAATCTGGCTCTGATGAATGTGACACACTTGGGAGGGACATAGTCCTGGTCAGAGTTGGGAGTGGCCACCCTTACATCCTGAGGAGATAGTCAATGCACCATCAAGCGGGTTAGTATGTGTGAAAGAGGAAGGAGGAGAATCTGGATGGAACACCTAGACAGTGTTATCATAGAACAGTATTACCATAGTGTTCCCAGTGGTGAGAATGAATTCTTATTACTTAGAAAGAACCACACATCAAAGCACATATTTATCCATCCTTTACATAGACAACACATTTACTCACATGTTTGGGATACATTATGTATAATAAAAACACTGAGCCGGGCAGTGGTGGCGAAGCATGCCTTTAATCCCAGCAGTAGGGAGACAGAGGCAGGTGGATCTCTGTGAGTTTGAGGTCAGCCTGATTTACAAGTTTCAGGACAGCCAGGAAGGACTGCTACACAGAGAAGCCCTGTCTCAAAACAAACAAACAAAAAGAACAACAACAAAAACTAAACAAAACAAAACAAAACATTTTTTTAATACAGTGAGGACCAGAACTAAAGTATAAGCAGGGATGTGAAGAGATGGTCTCCAGATCTTCTCTCTGGTGTATTGACAATAGGTCTACCACCACTTTCCTTCCACAAGATTTTACCAGAGTCATGTTCACTGCAGTTACATTGCTACAAATATAAGCAAAGTGACCTCCATCTTGTGTTAAAGACTAGGCACAGACAACTAACTACATAAGTAACAAAATATGAAGACTGAGAGACTAAATGTGAATAAGAGGTTGGTGTTCCCAGCAAATAATTCAATCGACATATTTACCAGATGCCAATGACCCATTGTGCTTTGCTGTAGCCATACAAATAACATGCATGTAGACCACTCAAATGACTGATTTTACAAATCAAGTAGATTCTTTGTAAAGCCTAGCTCGCTAACACCCAATAGCTGGGGGGCTTAGATTCCTCTCTGATATACATCAGGGAAGCAAGTGGCTACTCTGAGCTCCTCATTCAGGAAATAGTATGCAAGCTCTGCCTCATTGGTGGAGGAGGTAATAGTAACAGATTTGTTTCTGAGAAAGATGAGTGATTAAATCTGAAATTGAAGGACTCTTCCTGTAAGATATTTGGGTATGTATTAATTTTTTTGGTTTCCAAGCATGTTATTAATATGAATGGTCTTCATTCATTCCTGCTGGCCAGACACCAGGCTTCCAGGGTAGTGAGAGGATGAGTAGGAGGGTTTATTGTGGATTTACAATTCTCAGGCACAACTTAGAATTCATTTTCTCATAGAAAAAGAAAGGTTTCCAAGCTGGCCTGCTAAAGCTTATTTAATCCACAGAATAGAAGATAGCTTTATCATTCTGCACCATTAAGAGTCAGCGTGGGGCTGGGCGGTTATGGCACATGCCTTTAGTCGCAGCACTCGGGAGGCAGAGGCAGGCGGATCTCTGTGAGTTTGAAACCAGCCTGGTCTACAAGAGCTAGTTCCAGGGCCACAGAGAAACCCTGTCTTGAAAAAAAAGAAAAAAAGAAAGAAAGAAAAAAGAAAAAAGACTCAGCGTGGTATAAGGACTCGAGTCTTCCTTTAGCAGGCAGGAAGATTGGCTTTTATTTTAGGCAGCTGCCCACTGGAGGAGTTCACATCGTGACTACACAGCTGTGTGTTGCATCACCACTGCAGCATAGAACTGTGCATTCAGTAATGCTCCAGGTCACCTCAAGTCTGAAAGACCAAGACCAAGGTAGGGAACCCCTTGTGAAGAAGCACAGAAGCAGCCAAATGGAGCCATCACCACCCAAGTGGCCAGGATCTTTGTGTGTGGGTGGTGTGAGTAGTGGGGAGAAGAAGGCAGGGAGACTGGATCAAACCCGAGGCTTTCCTTCCCTCATGCTGAGCAAGTGCTCTTCAACTGAGCATCCTCCAGCCCAAGAGCTTTCTAATATGTGACAGTTGCTGTTTCTTGCCTTTTGTCATTTTAATAGACTAGATAATTAAACAACAACAACTGAGTGAAGGCAGAAAGATTATGAATTTGAGGCCAGCCTGGGGTACAGAGTGAGCTCAAGACTAGCATGAATTTCATTGACTCTATCTGGAAGATAGAGTCAAAATGAAACCCAAATAAAACCGAGACAGAGACAATTGACTATGAACCACACAAATAAATGAATGGCCTTAATAGCTTTTCAGTCTCCAAACTAAAGTTCTGATTTTGTTTTTCATTTGTGTGGCCTTTTTTGGGGAAGAAGGGGGTGGGAGTCTGTACCACAGTACAGGGTGGAAGTCAGAAGACAATTTTTAGGAGTTGATTCCCTCCTTCCACCTTGTGGTTTCCAGGAATTAAACTCAAGCCCTCAGGGTAGAGGGCACCTTTGCCCTCTAAGCCATCTTGCCAGCCCATACAACTGAATGTTTTGGCTCATAGCTTCCTAAAGGAAGAACTCACAGCAATAATAAAGTTCTAGAACAGTTCAGCTAGAACAGAAAAAGGAGTGTTGAAAAGTGGTAAGTACGCTTCCCTCATCTTCCTGAAGTGACTGCCAAGACAAATATGAAGACCAAGGAAGAACAGAGGTTCAAGGAGCCAGGAGGCAATGTGCCAGTAAATCCCAGGATTTCCATGAGGTCGAGGCAGGAAACACGGTTAATTCCAGGTCAGTCTAGGCTATGTTGAAAGATCCTGCGTTAGCAATACAGAACAGGTAAGTAATAAACAAATACCCCAAACACCAAAGACTTGTGTAGATCAGTGATAGAGTAGTTGTGCCCAAGTCTGGGTTCAATTCCAATACCACCAAAGATATATGTATATATGTTTGATTGGATGACCTGACTAGCCTGGAACTCATCCTGAGTTCATAGTGGAGGCTCATCTCTGGATGCTGATAGACTGGCCTGTGCTACCAAACTTCCTTGAAAAGATAATTACTTTCCAAGAAAAGTGTAACTGAGGATGGAAACCAGAAGGTACATTGTCATCTGTACCCTAAGATTTCGATGGCTTTTTTTAAACTTGTTTTATGGGTACTCAGCTCTCTAAACAAAATTGGGCCTCGTAAAATTGTTAAAGAAAGAGGCTGTACTGCCATGGAGAGGAAGACTTTCACTGCTTGCATTTCTGCCCAATGAGCTTAATCTAGAAGACATGGATAAAACAAGACATTCATGATTCTCATTCCCTGGTTTGTAAAAAGATCTTTATGATTTGATTTTATTGGGGGTGCTGGGGATAAACTCCAGAGATTTCTGCAGGCTGGCTCAGTGCTCTATTACACCCAAGCCCCTGAAGAGCTCCTGTGGTTCAGGCTTCAGATTTCAAGGAACTTTGCAGTCATGCTTGTTTTTCTCTAATCAGATCCTTTACCTCTGAATCTACCCCTGTCATTATCACGGTTTTTATTGGCTGAAGACGTACCAGAGTTCTTGGCACATAGTAAATGCTCAATAGAGCATTTGAACTCTACGGTTATAGAACTGATGACTTTATAAGTTCTTCCCTCCAGAAAAATTTTCTCAAATTCCCCACTGAGATGGGGTGTCTTCTTCTTTTACTGCTCACGCCTGTTGCCACTTGAGGAGCACTTACACGATCAGTCACATTGTGCACCCCACCCCCCACCCCGCCGGGTTTTCAAGGCAGGGTTTTATTTGTAACAGGCTGGTTGTCATGGAAGTCACTTTGTAGACCATACTGGCCTCCAACTCACAAAGATCCACCTGCCTCTGTCTCCTGAGTGCTGGGATTAAGGGCAAGTGCCACCACTGCCTGGCTTGCGTTGTGTATTTTTTAAAAAAATATCCCCTGCCTATTTTTTAACTTAAGGGTTCCTAATTTTAAATTTACCCTTCCCAAATGAATACTTCATAATTTTTCTTGTGTTCTTTGCAATTCCAAGCATTTGCCAGCCTAGTGCTCCCCACAAAACCTAGCAAAAGCTTATGCCTCAAATCTGTGGAGGCTGATGCTGAGGGATGTTTAAGAACCTACTCATCCATCTCAATGTGGCACTCATGCAGCTTGCTCTTCAATTGCCCATCATTGCTTCACTCAAAGGCAGTGATTATTCATTCATGGAGCTTTTGCGGAGCCTCCACTAGGAGCCAGTCACTGTGCTAGGTGCTTTGGAAGATATACAAAGACGAATAAGATGCCTCCCCTGATTTCGGTAGCAATTACTAATGTAAGATTCATAAGCAATTAATCACACACTGCTTTGTGATGTCTCTTATGCTAGCTGGAAAGAATTCTCTAAATACTGCTGTGTGATTTGCCTTTTCACTTGTTAATGTTTTCATTCTGTAAATAGTTGTTGAATCAAGCACCATCTTG